TGGGCGCTGAGGCACCGCTCCGTTGGTCGCGCCTCCTCGCAGCGCGCCGTTGCTGTGGGTTTCTCTGGGTGCTGCCGGCTCTCCGGGATAAGCGAGTGGCGTTGAAAGCCTCTCTGCCCCCCTGCAGAGCTCTGGCTAGTGTCTAAGTCACTCCCTAAGGTGTTTTTTTTATCCTCCCTAGATCTTGGTATGGAAGGAGCTTGACTATGGCTCCCTGACAGAGGCTGAGAAACAAATGCTTGTTTCGGAAGTGAATTTGCTCCGCGAGCTGAGACACCCGAACATCGTCCGGTATTACGATCGGATCATTGACAGAAGCAGCACAACCCTGTACATCGTGATGGAGTACTGTGACGGGGGTGACCTGGCTAGCTTAATTGCCAGGTGCACAAAAGAAAGGCACGTGAAATCTGTTTGTGGCAGTTCTGGAGTATCTAGCATGAAGTGTCTTGGGCAATCACAAGAAAAAGCTCCAAGTGAAATGTTTCTCTTCTTAATAACTTCTGAACAACTTCGAGTCTCATCCTTTGGACCCAACGACTTTTGAGATGTGAAAGGGTTGTATGAAATGACAACACTGGTGGGAATTGTGCTAATGAATGCACCAGCTGATTGGATGTTTATGTCCAAATAGTAAAAAAAAAAATGAGCTCTCTCATCAGGCTGAAGCTGTTGAAGGGCTTCTTGTTGCAGTGCTATGCATGGTGTTGAAAACATAAAACAGTTCTTGCAGATAGGTAGCTTGATCTGTGGGTTTTTCTGGCTTGCCTGCCAGTAAAACCACGCATACCCTATTTTTTTGTTGGAACACCAACACCAAAATACATGAAAGAGAAAAGTGATTTTGAACATGATGTTAAAAGCTACTTTATGTGCCTGCATATAAAGCTTGTGGAGACACCAAGTTGATAAGACTTCACCTTGGTCTAATCTTAGACTTAGCAGCCTATTTATTAAGTATAATATTGGTTTTCACATTCTTAAGTTAAATGAGTACAGGATGCCACATATGTTGCTTTGTGAGAATAGTCTACAATGGTACTGCCACTGCCCCCAAACATCAGTATTTTCATTTTAGGAGGGTTATGTTAAAAACCAGTCCTGTCCTGGTTCTATTGTTGTTGTATGTTGCTCATAACAGTTTTGGAAACAGCTGACAATATACTGTTATGGTAAGTGATCAAAGGGCCAGATCTCATCACAAAAGCAGCAAATTGATGTTTGTGTTGTAAGTAATGGAAATGCTATGTATTTGTTAGACCCTTTGGGAGAGGAAGGGAATATTATGGGGATTCTGCAACAAAAGTCTAGATGTTTTCCAACACATTTGGAGTGATTTTTTTTTAAACTTACATTTTTTTAGAATAGCATATGTAGATGCCTGTTGCTGTTTGTTTTCTATAGAAGTGCTGGGGTTGATTAGTGATGTTTTATAGCAGAAGTATTAAAGTTGCAGAACTAAGACTGGCAGCAGGTACTTAAACTGATGTATGCTCAGAGAATACCTTTGTTAAACAATGTGTTCATTTTTCAGGTATTACTTGGAAGAAAGCTTTGTTCTCAGAGTATTGACTCAATTGACATTGGCCTTGAAGGAATGTCACAGACGGAGTGATGGTGGAGTCACTGTGCATCGTGACCTAAAACCGGCAAATGTCTTCCTAGATGGCAAGCAGAATGTGAAACTTGGAGATTTTGGACTGGCTAGAATATTGCACCATGACACCAGCTTTGCCAAAACATTTGTTGGAACTCCATATTATATGTCTCCAGTAAGACCTCCCTTCTGTGCCTTATCTTCCCTCTTGTCCCTCCAAGATCTGTGTTCTGCAGTGTTGATCTCAGAGTCCATGAATGTTTGGGAGGTTTTAATGAAGAGTTACTAATCTTAAATGCAGGTGACTTTTTTCATAGAGTGTATATGTTCTGGAGAGGCAAGGTTATTTTGCAGTTATTTTAATCTCCTTTCTCACACCATCACTACCTTCTAATTAAGGTTGTTTGCTGTGTAAGTTTTGACATGCTCTTGGAATATTAGAGATGTAAGGTAGTTATGCTGGAGTATTTTGTTCCTGAAAAGGAACAGGGAAGCTAGAGCGCTTTTATGTTTCATAGTGTTAAGATGAAGAGCTTATTAAATTATCTCTTGATTGTAGAATTTTTAATTTGTAGTGGAAATAAGCAAGAATGAGTTATTTCCCTGATACAGTGCATTTTGTGTGGGAAAGATTAATGTTGACTGAAATATGGAGTTGTATCAACTGAAGATTAGTGCAACACCTCAGTCTTCTACTGGGTAGTACTCCATAAGTTGTTAAAATCCTGCTAGTAAGAGTAGCTGTGGAGGTTAATTAAGATGGAATCTTAAAAGTAACCCCAGTAAGTAATGGTTTAATTCATGTTTTAACAGTAGCTGATTATCCTGCAATAGTAGAACAGTGTCTTAGTTAATAAACTTAAGATCATTCTCTTTCTTTAGGAACAAATGAACCACATGTCATACAATGAAAAATCTGACATCTGGTCTCTAGGATGTCTCCTGTATGAATTATGTGCACTCTCGTAAGTACAGAAGTGTGGTAAATGCTGTTAATGCATTTATGGTTAAATTTTGTATAGATGAAAGCTTAAAGGTTTCAGAGACTAGTCCTAGAATTTTATTTCTCTACTGGTCTTGACATTAGGTAGTCAAAACAAACTTTTGATTGCAGCTTTTTTCTTAGTCTGATACTCTTTTTATAAAAATAAGTCCTGTAAAACTAGTGAGAGAATCCAAGAAAAATATTCTTCTTCAGGCCTCCTTTTAGAGCTTACAACCAAAAGGAGTTGGCGGAAAAGATAAGGGAAGGGAAGTTTAGACGAATACCATATCGTTACTCAGAGCAGTTGAATGAACTTCTCAAAGAGATGCTGAATGTAAAGGTAAGAATCAATTACTAATTTTTCCATCTATAACTTGAACTAGTACTGAAATATTAGTTTCCCTTCTCAACTATGAAACAAACTGATGTGAAGTAGTGGTTGCTATCACCTTGTCACTGGCATTATCACTTGTAGGGGAAGGAGGGAGGAATTGTGCTTTGAGTCCATTAAATAAAGGCAGCAGCTCAAGTGTTATGCCAGGTTCACAGGATGCAAAAAGGCTGTCTTGGCTTATACAGGATTTCCTACCAGCAGGCTTAACAAGGTCTTACAACTTCAAAGTTAAAATGGTTCAGTGTGTTTGGAAGTTGGAAGGGGTTGTTTTGTCTTCATTTTGGATTTTGCTTTATATGGCTATTGTATAGCTCACCCCCCATGGCTGGCATGGGGGTGTTGAGAAGAATACTGCATGGGACAACAAAGCTGTAACAAGAACCCAAGTCTCCAACAGGTATGGATCCTTCAGGAACCAAGTGACAGGTAGAGATGCAGAGTGTTAACTCCAGAACCTACTGACAATTGCCTCTGTAGGCTCACCACCCGGTCCTGGCTCTGAAAGGACTGGGTGCCAGGGCTAGGAGAGCCAGACTTGCAGCTTCTGGAGCTGAAGGCTGGTAACAGCCACCCCCTCAGCTTTTGTCATTTGGTTGCAATATCCCCTCCTAACTCCATTTTTCTCCGACTTCTCCTTCACTGTCTAGAACCTCAGCTGGTTTCCACCTGAGGTGGGTCTTGTGTGGGAATCCCTGGCCTTAATCTTTCTTGGTTACAGATCGAACCTGTTGGTAATGTCTCTCCATTAGGATTATTGCCGACCTTCTGTTGAAGAAATTCTGCAGCACCCCTTGGTAGCAGACTTGGTGACAGAAGAACAAAGGCAAAATTCTGATAAAAGAGGCCGGAGATCATGGGAGCCAGAAAGGCTGCAGCATTCAGATGCTGCAGTGAATGAACTGAAACGGAAGGAACAACAATTACAGGAGCGAGAACAAGCCATTAAAGAGAGAGAGCAGCGTTTGGAGCGTATGATATTCCACTTTGGGAAGGGGGTGGCAATGGGATTCTGATTCAAAAGATTAAGTGCGGAGGGAGGAAAGGTAGACAGTTTTCAAAACCCTCATTTTAATGCATTAGATATGATACTCTTGCACTCACTACTAGAATTCTGTCTAAAGACTAAAACAAAATGCTTGGGCTTATTCATCCATACTATGCTTGTTTTAAGTTACTAAGATATAATTGGCAGTTTGGATATAGAAGTCTGGTTTGGGAAGTTTATTAAACATGAGTGGCAATTAGGAAAGTATACAGGAAAAATAGGGTCTGAATATATTGTTCTGCACTGTGCAGCATAGCTTGCCTTTCACTTACTCTGTGTAAGTTAACATTGGCTATACTAATGTGTAACCTAAGGTGAGCCTGCTGTTGGAGCAAAATGCACCTGAGTAAACTGTCAACTGCTTTTATAGAAGCTGTACCCTACAGGTAGCTTGCCTGTGAAACTGTACAGATGGCTGGTCGTCAGGTGTTGGGATTTCCTGCTCACATAAAATACCTCTTTGCGTATGCAGTATGCTCTGTAATACAGATTTTAACCATATATATTGTTTTCTGAGCCTGAGTAACACCTGCTGCTGCTATAAACAGGGTGTTGAGCCATAGCTGGATTGTAGTATCTGGTATCTAAATATTTATTTAGAACTGGTGTCATGTGTGCCATGAGTTAATGAATAGAAAGTTGCTATAGCTTCATTGTTGCAGATATGACAGAGGTTTTGGGAAAAAAAAGCATGCCTGGCATTTCAGAGTACTTGTCTAGTGCTTTATCAGTGGATTGATAAAGGTGTATCTACACAGCAGTTATCTTGCTTTGTTTAGAGCCATAGAAGCAGAAATATAGGTACACCTGACAGGCTATTACTGCTGTCTTTTTTTTTTCAAGAAAAAATCCATCATGCACAATCACTTTAACATTTACATTTTAACACTGCATACTACCGTATTTCTACTTCCAGAGAGAGAACGGGAACTCTGCGTTCGAGAGAGACTGGCAGAGGACAAACTTGCTAGGTATCTTACTAACCTGTAATTGCCTAGATTAGAAACTCTACAATCTTACAACAAAAGCTTAAACTTCTCTTTTCAAAACAGAGCTGAAAACTTGATGAGGAACTACAATCTCTACAAGCAGCAGAGGACATTAGCTTGTGCAGATGTTCCAGGTATGAAAATACGCAAGAAGCCACTTGCACTGATAAATGTAGGCTGGTATGACTAGAAGAATGCCCCTGATGCTCAGCATACTGTACGTAGTCCCATTGTAGCAATACAAACCCCAATTATCTCTGCATGGTTGGGAAGAGACTCATGATTTTCTACTTTGCAAAAAGACTTAATGAATGATGCTCAGCCATGAGTATGACTAACCACTGTCAGCACTGCAGTCTTGTGCTGTTTTGAAAATTAGGTTCTTGCAGTAAGCTAATAGAAGTGCTGACTTGTAGCCCAAACTTTCTCAGAGCTGTACTTATTTTACTTATGGATGTATCTTTATAGACCTTTTTAGGTAATTTTAATAAAATTGCACACATCTAACCACTTCAACTTTAGTTCAACTTCCAAAAACTTCAAGGTGAGAAATAATACTTGTTTCAAGTGACCCAGCTGTGATTGGTGCATCATAAGCACTGAAGAGTACAAACTGCTTTTATTGTACTGCAGTTTAACTCACTAGAAAAAAAAAACCCAGCTTTGATAAATGTGCTATAATGCTTCCTGACTACCTGTAGTCCAATCTGGATTACAGTAGCTATTACCCCATAATTATTTGATCCTCACTTTGGCCTTGATTGTTCAGTCCTCACTATCATAAGAGGTAGTATAATCTGTTCATTGCACCCATCTTTAACAGTAAAAGTGATTCAAGTATCTCAATGCATTTCATAATATTGGTGGACTATTAAATGGCTGGGTCCTAAGCAGTATTCTAGAACAAAGAAATGTGAACACCCTTTAACATGCAACAACAATCTCTTCATTTAGTTTTGCTTGGATAAAGCAAGATAAGGATGTCACTGCCTCTAATACAAATAAAACTGAAATTGTGGGTTGTGTGTTGTTTTTTTTTTCCAAGAAGTGCCTATCACAGCAGGAAAGAACACAAGTAAAATGCCACCAGAAGTTAGTGGTACTTGAGCTATTTCTAACATTCCTGTCAATTTTGAAAATTCCACCTGTGTCTCAATATCTTGTCTGACTTTGATACATTAAAGAATATAAAATTAAGAATAAACTTGCCTGGGGCTTTCTGATGTTGCCTCTAGCACTGGATGACTGAAGGTAAATGAGCTTCAGCATTTGGTTTTGTTCTGTTCTGCATCTCCCACCCCTTTACATGACATTTTGATCTTAACAGGGGTATTAATTTTTGAAGAGGGGCAAAACCACATTGAGTACTTAATACCTCAAGACAGACAATGCAGAAAAGTGAATAAAGTTATTCCAAGACTGACTAAATCCTGTAATGTCTGTAGATCACTTGATTAAACATTTGTTACAATGTTTGCTACTCTTCAAATTCATTACACGGTACTTTTGTAATACTGTTTCTAAAGTTCTCCCTGCACTGATATGAATGGACTAAGTGCTTCTCCAATATGTTATCAAGATTGCTTCTGTTACCTTCAGTTACTCTAATATGACTGTCTTTTTCACAACTGGATTGCATCTCACACATCTTGGATCCTTAATTTCTCCTCAAAGTCAGTTGTGTGGTTCACTTCACAGTAAAATGGAATACCAAAAATCCTGGTTTCTAGGACTGTGTCCTAGATGCTACCCTATTTTTGCAGGGATTTTCTGATTCTTAGGGAAGGATTTAATGTTAAACTAGATATAGCTTACTGATATGAAACTACAAAATGCTGAAACATTCACTAGCCCCTTCAGTTTGGTCCTTCTTGCTTTTCTGTATTTACTGCATCCTTGCTCTAGCCTAATGACCTGAAAATTAAGGCTTCAGCAGAGTTACAATTAGGATAGTTAGACCTTTGATAAGGTCTAATTCTTTTTTTCTGAGTTGAGTCTTATGAAGTTAGCTCTTAGAGGCAACTCAGCTGGTTTAACATTTTTTTTTTTATGGTAGTTTTTGTACCCTAAGTCATTAAAAACTGCCTTTTGATTGTGGCAGTTCTATACAGCTAAAGCATAGCTATACTGTGAAAATTCCTGTCCTGGAGGCTGCAGTGAAAGCAACTGGCTAATTGTTAATGCACCTAAACTCATTATTCATCAAATCAGAGCCTAGTTTGTACCCTGTTGACTTAATACAAGGATAGAGTTGGAACAATGTGGGTAATGTAGAAAGACCTCTGGACAGGTTGGGTCTGCCCCTGCTATGAAGGAAAGACAAGGTTTTTGGTAGCTGAGAGCCTACTTCTCCACTTCCCTTTGGAACTGGATTATGTTACTGTCCCATCCTTCAGAAGAAACTCCATGGGTTTATTCCTTATGTCAACTAATATTTCCTTAGGTGTTGTGAGGTACACCCTAGAAACTACAGTGGCATATATCATTTTACAATACTTATTTAAAAGCCTTGTTTTCAAATTTTCTTCCAAAAATGGAAAAGAATTGTTGCTATGAACTGAAATGCATTTAATTAGATTACTTAAAGCCATAGGTAGTTAGAAAAATGGGTAACTGGGTTAAAGGACATAAGCTAAGCAATAAATTCTGACAGATGTACTAATTCAGTACTTATTTTTTGATTTCTTAAGATAATGCACTCCTGCTCCCCTTTTCTACAACCAAGAAGAAAGTATACTTTGATGGAAGTGAAGAGAATGCTGTGCCTCCTGTTAATCTGGAAAACTATCCCCTTTCCAAAGGGAAATGCTCTGATCTCAAAAAACGTCTATATGCTGCAAATCTACGGGCTCAAGCACTGTCTGAACTGGAAAAAAACTATCAAATAAAGAGTAGACAAATCTTGGGCATGCGCTGAAACTGTAACATAGATGTACAGTATTTAACTTTTTAGAATTGATTAAATGTATAGGAAGATACTGTGCTTCCTCCTTTTAAGCTGGAACCTACTGAAAATATATTTTTACAGTTGTTATACAAACTCTTAGTCTATGATAGGTAGTTCATGATAAGGGCATAAGAGATTATATTATGAAAACAGGTAGTTTTGATACCAAATCAAACAAGCTCTATGAATTGTATTATTAAAGAAAACAATATTTTGGTCCTCCTCTTTACCATACATTGCTCTTCTGAAAATACAAAGCATGAATATTGTAAACCAGATTTTTTTAGACCTGATGTGAAAAATTTTTCAGATGAAAAATGTACAGAGATTCACAATCTGTAGGTTAAAATGATGCTGTATGTAATGTACAGCACTTAATAAAAGAAGTATTGGTATTCTGCATATGTGGAAAAACAGTGGCTTTTTGTCTGTGCTTGTAAATATCTTTTAACTATCAAAAGAGCAAAAAGATTTTATGCTGTCTCTTCCTACTAACTAGGTGACCTATCGAGGCAGGCTACTTTTAGTTTAATGTCTTTGACTAATGAGTGGGATGGGTCAGCTTAGCATAATTGATGTGTTTATAGTCCTTTCTGCCTGGGCAGCTGAGTGGCTTGTCCATCAGCTCCTGAAAGGCTGCTTCAGGGCACAGCATTTGAAATAACACCTTCTTTGGCTTGCCTTGAAATTGTTATAAACTGGTCCCCTGAGACTGCTGTCCTGGACAGGACACCATCCAGGGTATTGGCACCTGTGTTTGGGGAGGAGCAATTTACTTTGAATAGCAAATCCTTACTTTCTTGGAGCTCATGAGGCATCTCCATCTTTCCCTTCCAATTCTCTGCCAGAGTAGGAGTTGCTTGCTTAAGGTGGTGTAAGTTTCATGAACTAACCCAGGCTCATTAATCTAAAAAAAATCATATAAAGGTTTCCTCTCTCTGGGTTGAAATGCCATAAAACATACATTCTTAGAAAAATTTCTTTCTTTATTGGGCCATGAATGTTATCTAAGGAGGTATTCTAGATGGCTTTTACTCGAAAAAAAGAGAACCTTATTTGAAACATCAATTTAATTTGGCATATTTGCTGATAGACAAGTACTTGTGTCACCAAACAATAGTTCTGCTCCAGCAGATTCTTAACCACGCAGCAGAGCTTATCATATTTGCTTGCATAGCGGTTACTGTTTTCACCACAGTCTTTGCTTAAAAGAATTTGAATATGACCATTTGGATTGCTAGTCTAAAACTACCACTATTCTGGTAGTCATTACCCAGAGCTCGGTGTGGTCGGAAGTGTCTGGCAGGTACGTAGAGCCAAAATATCTGTGCCATATGGATCAGTGCAGCTTTCCTGCTGCATCCTTTCATATTGTTTAAGATTCTCACACATATTTGGAGGGTGAACCCCTGCTTTCTCACCATGTTTGTATATTGAGATTTTTCTGTTCTGTGCCTCAATCACAAGATCTGCAATGCAGTTCTACTGGCTTTCATGTGGATCTTTATTGTATAGCCCATAAACTAGCAAAGGGTAGAATATGCAGTAGTGTAAGTCTATTCTGAAAAAATATGTAGGATGCAAGAATTTTGTTGTATGCTTTGTCATCTGCAAAATGCAGGTACTAATTAGTGAAAGGAGGAACCCAAGCAACCAAGAAAATAAATTAGTAATTAATGATTCAGGAAAGCCTGTATTGTGAAATGGCTGGTGTTTGCAAATGCCTTGCTTTTAACAAGTCCAAACTAAGAAAATGGCTTGAGAGGGTTTTTTTTTTTTCTCCTCTTTTTTTTCTTGGAACAAATAATTTCTGCATTTAAAAGTAAAATACCTTCAGAGCAATACCTGCAGGTTTCCTCTTCCTTTAATTCTCTACTGACCTCAAGATGGCACTGTTGCCATGTAATTGTTGGGAATGTCCTTTATTGATACATTCATACAACATTTAAGATCTGATTTAAATATATTTTTACCTGTTTTGTTTCAGTAAATCATAAGTGTGTTGCTGCAAGATGCTGATTTTCTTAGGCTGCAGATGCTTTAGTACTTGCTGGTGCAATTAATTGTAATTATCTCCGATTTGCCATTTTGCATCTTTTATGCATGTTTTATAAAAATAGTTGAATTAAAGTCTTAGTTAACAATTACACTATTATGAATAAGAAATGCTACAGAGAGTGCAAACTCTATCAATCACAATGGCAGTAATAAATGAGAACAGCTTAAGTTACAGCTGTAGCATTGAGCTGTTTAAGCTGCTTTACTCACAATGTCTTCTTGAAGCATTATCACTCTAATATGATAAATGCAGTCTCTTGAGGTTTTTTGAAATAAGAACTTCCCACCAGTATGTGTCAAGCATCGGGGAAGGCATCCTGGAGATGGTCTTCATTCTCTCTCAGGATTTTTGCTTTGGAATCCTGAAATGCATATTTTCCTACAAAGGCATAATTGTTTTTCCCAGAGCATGTGTGTAGCATTGGAATCACATTCAGGATGTAATTTTCAAATATATTCAGGAAAATAAATAGAATATTTATGGGAATAGTGACCGCCTATAGAGTGCTTGCAAAACATCGCCATCATGCTGATGGGTATATTTATCTCTAAGAAGTGAAGATAAATTGTACATATGTATATGGTACAGCTTAAGCCTTGCAGGATGATAATAATGGTGTACACTGTCGAATGTTATGAGATAAATTAATTAATGTTTAATATCACTATCAGGAATTTTAATAATATGTATAGTTGTGGGCACACGAATGACATACAGAAGTTACCTCTGAAGTTACAGAAGTTTTATATGCATAGAACATAATTTAGCTTAAGGATAGATTGGAGGGGAGGTTGCATCATCTTTGAAAAATGTGGACCAGATCCCCGATTTTCAGCCTTTGTGTGTGACCTTGATCAAGACTGTCCTGGGCCTTAGGTTCCCATCTGTAACAGGCTCGTCACAGGGGGGTGCTCAGAGACAGCACTGGGATCCTCTACAGGTCTTCTGCACTGGGCAGATTTTTGGTGGCAGTGCTGCAACCACTTTGGTCTCCAACTTTGGGCAGCTGTGCATGTACTAGGGAATGGAATTTACTGAGAAAATAGTGGTGAGTTACCGAAGTAATTTATTTAATGATTAGCCTGGTCAACTGTCCCCTCTGCAGCCAGCTGACCAGTCCATTCTGTGTGACCGTGGTGCTTAAATGGTGTGAAAGTGCTGGCTAGCTGGGCAGATAAAATGCTTAAAGGATATCAGGCTTAAATACAGAGGCCCATCAAGCTGCTTCCTAAACATAAATATTAATAGGTCATTTAATCTCTACTATATCATTGAACAGGTGGAGAGATAAATCCCTCTGGAACAATTTTAAAATAATTTATCATAGGGAATTTCACATTTTTGCCTTTACTGTCGGTGGGTAACCCAGGAGGAAGCGATCTGGTCCCAATAATGGCAGAAGCCGGTTGATAGGCACTCACTGCAAGAATCAATCTCCTGCAGTTTTCCACAGGCACAAAAACCAGGGCAGAGCAGAAGCTCCCTGCTATTACTCTTGTCTTCACCCAAAAAAGAGAGATTATTCCTCCCTTACGCTGCTCGTCATCCTAGCCCCTGTATGTATTTCTTGCTGTGCTGATAAAGGTGAAGTCCATTTCCCCGTAAGTAATGCTTCTAGCATTCATAGTCCAAAATACAGTTGGACGCAGTAATGGTGCAGTGACAGCCTTTGGGCCGTGTCTTTGTCTTATTCTTCCCTTGTGTAACTTGCGTGAAGCCAGAGGAATCCTAGTATCTGTAAAGCTGGTATATCGGGCATAGAAGCTGATGCCTGCCCTGGAAGTCTGCTTAATAGGCATTTCAGCACCATGGAAGACTTTGGCCTAATTAAGGCTACATACAGTACAATCCACATCAGGTATTGGAAGTGAGTTTTATTTATATATTTACCTTAAAAGTTAGCTAAAAGTTAAATATTAATCTTTACAACTTTAAAAATCTCCACAGACTTGATAGCATAACGCCACATATTGTTATACTGCTTTTCCATTTAATCTTGCTTTCAGCCAGATCAGCAATGCTGAGAAGTTACTATACTAGAGGCAAGAGCACCTTTATCTGACATATTGTTTTGAAGGCAAAGTGCACTTCTGAGGCTCAGCTGCCATGAAAGTATGAAGCTTTGTTGGGAAAAAAATCCTTTGCATTCTACAAAATGGACTCATGCCAGAGTTTTATGATATAAAGGGAAAAGAAAGGCTACAAAGATACCTAGAATGAGCTAGCTCCAGATAGTCTTATTTTTCAATGTATGTTCTTTCTGGGTAAGAAAACATAACATATTTACCAAAACTTTTAGCTAATTAGCTTTCATTTTTGACTGGTTTAATTTTTGACTGATGGATGAGATGATGCTTGTTGCTGGGCTACCTAGTTCGAGCAGAGGTAATTTATGCGCCCAGTTATTACTGCATTGTTCTCTACTGCGAATATATTATTGGTCTTAACGCATTAGGTCTACCTCCTTGGCAACTGAAACTCTGACTTGCACCTGACATGCAGCAAGTAATAACCAATAATGCAGCTTCCGCTATCAACTTTCGTATGGTTTTTTTGTGTGTGGTAAAATTAACGCAACATGCAGGTTTATAAGCAATATGGCAGTTACTTAGCAGGTGCCTGAATACTTGGCTAGAGCTACTAATTTTTTTCCCCCATTATTCATACCAATCTGAAAAACTTTTTTATTTGCAAAGATAGATGCTAAATACTTTTTTACTGTTTAATCAGCTCTTTTAGCAGGTCCTGCTCTTGTAAGGACAGCAGAAGCAAGCTTATGCATAATACAAATTTTTGCACATGTTTGTGTCAGTTGAAGTCCCAAGGACACAACAGAAGCCCAGTAAAGCCAATGACAAGCTTTCCTTCAGATTCAGTGCACCCTTGGCTGGACTTCAACTTCATTAGCATTAGACATACTAGATATTTGTAAATACTTACACTTGTTTGCTATTTGGGGGGCAAGAGCATTGCCAAAGGCACAGCAGGAACAAACGATCCATCTTCCTCAACAGAAGTGAAGACAAGCCACTTTAGGTAAAGCTCCCAATCTTGGCTTCTACCAAATCGGACTTTCCTTGACAAGAATTCGCATCAATAGCCCTCTGGCAAGCTTGGGTATCGCAGAGACCTCTCTGGAGTTGT